GGCGAGCAGATGCTCCAGGAAGGTCCCAAAATGCTGGGAGGGAGAAGGCCTGGCCACAGCTGTTGCAGGGAGCGCCCCGGCCGCTGACCAGTTCACTCCAAGGGTGGGGAGAATCTAACAACCAGGAGGGAATCTTCTCGGTGCCCTTGGTGCAGGTGCAGATTTCTCTGCTTAAAAGGAGATGCTCTGAAGACGAGAGTCCTGAGAATCATCGCCGCACCAGGCTCATGTGGCACTTGGAACCACCTGCCCCCAGGAGGCCCTGGCACCTGAGCAGGCTCCTTGCTCAGAGACCCGGGACCCCAGCTGGGTGGCTGTGGACTCAGACCCACTGCTCCCCGTCTCCCTGTGAGATGCCCAGCACCGACTTGTGCGGGATCCTGCACTCCTGCAGAGACTTTGTGAGGTCGGAGAAACGTCTCCTGGGCACCTCCATCGTTTCAATGCTGCAGTGTCGGTAGGTGGCCTTGTTCTTGTGCTCGGCCACGGCCACGATGGTCTGTAAGTCATCCGTTGGCCGGAAGTGGCGCACGAACCTGCGGCCTGACGGGGATCGGACGGCCAGCAGCAGCCTCGGCTCTTGATCTGATGGTTCCTCCAGGTCTCCAGCCCCAGGGGAGCTCGGCCTCCTGGTTTGGACGACGAGCTTCCTCTCCGGGAAACGAGCTGGAGCTCTGGAATCTTCCTGGCTGGTCTCCATGGTGCAGGTCTCCTCCTGGTAAAGAGCCTGGATGCTGCTCAGATGCAGGGAGCCGGCCCTTTCAGCTACTGTTTCCACTGCCCCCTCCCCCAGGGTCTTCCTGTTGATGGAAGGAAGGACCGGGTACTTATTGAGGGAGGAGGAAGCGCCCATGGGCACCTGCTGCAGCAGCTCGGGGACCTCAAGGGGAGCGCCCTGGTTTGGGGACCTGGGCGCACAGGCTCCTGGCTTCTGGCTGCTTGGCGACTCGCAGGGAACGGCTGGAGGCGGAGAAGGAGGTGTGCGGTGAGAGCACACCCCTGCGTCCTGGGGTCTGTGTAGCCGCGGCCGAGTCCGTCCCTTGGCGGACTTGGGCCTTATGACGTGCATGTTCGGCGAGTCTGGCTGCCAAATGAAGCGGTCGGCTGCTGTGCTGATGACAGGGCTGCATTCAGGGAGGGCTCTATTCACAGGGGCTTCTGTGGCCATTGCTTCTCAAGACCCCTGAGGAAGCAGGAGAAAAGAGAGGAGGCCATGATTAAACGCCCTGGCACTTCTGGATCCAGTCACAAAGGAGAGGGGACCAGCTGCTATTCATTCATTCATTCCAGGTTTGGACTATATCAGTGAACCAAATTCCTTGCAACTTACATTATCATAGTGAGAAAAGACAAGTGTTATCCTATACGTAAATAGATATTTTCAAAGAGTAGTAACTGCAATGAAGAAGATAAAGTATTTCATCAGAGCGTGACTAGGGTGGGGACTAATTCTGATTCTTAATTTAGGGGAGGGGGAGCTTTGAGCTGAGAGACCATGCTGAGAAGGAACAGGCCATGTTACAACCTAGACCAGGGGTCGGCTACCTTTTTCCATCAATGCTTCCGGCTTTGGGAACCACACGGTCTCTGTCCCAGCTCCTCAGCCTGCCATTGTAGCTCAGAATCAGCCACACGCGATTACGCGAAGCAGCGGTTCCAGGAGCTGCCTTTGCTCTAAAGAGCGGATGTAGCCCTGTTAAGTCACCGCTCAGGAGAGCCAGGCTCAGCTTCACGCAAGAGCTGAGGGGCCAACCAGTAAGCTGCCCCCTGCACTCCGGTAGAGGGCGTCCCCACAGCAGTTACCTCTGGTCCAGTATTCACTGTGGACAAGCTCCCCTCTGTGACCCCCACTTCCTTGTCTCCCTCAGTCCTTTTCCTCTTCACCAACCTGCCCATTGCTTGTCCTTCCTACTGTTTTTCAGAGGGGGCTCTGTACAGATCACCCAGTGCAGTGTCCCTCCACCACCCCAACCCTTGTCACCAGGGGCGGAGGGAGAGGAGGGGCGGCCCCATTGCCGACCCGCCCAGGGGCCAGAACTTACAGGGACGTCCTCGGGTTCTAGACTAGGGCTCAGCAAACCTCTTCTGTAAATGGGCAGATAGGAAATATTTTCAGACCGTCTGTCACAAGTACCCAACTCCTCCCTTTTGGCGTAAAAGCTGGCACAGACGGTATGCAAATGAATGGGTGTGGCTGTATTTAAATAAACCTTCAAGTAGGGACACAGAAATCTGAATTCCATAGAGTTTTCATGTGACACAGAATAGTATTCTTCTTTTGATTTTTTTCCCCAACCACCTAAAAGTCTAAAAGCTCTGTTCGGCTCACGAGCCACACAAAAAAGCGGTGGTGGGCTGGATTTGGCCGCAGGCCGTCATTAACAAACACTGTCCTAGGCCGGCTGCAAAGGGGACTCTGGGTTCATGCTGATCCTATAGACAGGTGAGCCAGAAGGGGAGCCACTTCCCTGCGGTCACAGCCAGCGAGCGGCAGAGCCTGAAGCAGAACCCAGGTCGGTGACACGGGTTCTGTTTTGAGGTCCAGGCTGGGCGTCTCCCGCAGCACTGACCACACTCTGTCTCTTACTGTTACTATTAGCGTTCCTGTCTCCCCAGCTACCTTGCAAACACTTAGAGGGCCTCGTATTTGTCCCTGGCACCTGGGGTGTTCAGGGGTGCCTGTGAGAGCTCACAGGAGCAGGGTCCCCTGTGCTGGCCCGCAACCGCCAAATCAGATCTTTCCTTCTTTCCTGGCCATCTGGGTGGCCCTTTCACTAGCACTGTTACAGCCACCTCCTCCTGCTGGTCCCCGGTCACAGCTTCCCAGGACACTGCTAGGTCCTGGGCTCCTGCCTCCCTCTGAGTCCTGACCACCACTGTGACTGCTGTTCTCTCCGCCCACAGGCTGAGCAGCCCACTAAAGACCTGGCAACTCCCCGGTGCCTCATGGTCCCGGAGCAGCAGCATGTTTGGGTGCAGAGGACACGGGCCCCAGAGTCCTAAGATCAGGGTTCTCTTTCAGGCTCTGTCTCGAGCTAGCGATGTGACCACAGGCAGTGGCTCCATGTTGCTCGTATGTCACTTTCCTCATCTATGGAATGAGCAATGTGACCCTGAAGGCATTATTCAAATACCTCCGGATCAGTCTCTTTATCTGAAACATGAAGACAGTAACATGAAATGATGTAGGTAAGGCCATGACCACCAGGCTGGGTGCAAAGTAAAGATTTAATTAAATGATTAAGGGGTTTTCTTTGTTTTTGGTTTTCTGTTTGTTTAGTAACTTTTATTATTTTAGGTCCAAATGCCTTGCCTGTTGCTTCAGAGCTCTTCCCCGGGGTGTAGTCATCTCTAACCAGCTGGGTGAATCACAGGACGCATGTCTGCCCTGCCCACAGCAAAGAAATGCCGGAAGATGGATTTCATGGGCTACCACCTATTGAAATTGCCTCAAAAATATGAGATCAATGCTTTCTAATAAATCCCTTCTAACTCCATGCTTTAAACTTAAACACCTCCACTTCACTTACTCCAAGCTGCCTTCATCACGAAACCCTGAACAACCGGGTACCGTTGTGTGGGCCCGGCCATCGTTCCTAATTTTAGGGAGTCTCCTCTTCCTCTCCATTAAAACCACAACCGGACAAAACATGCTACCCCTGGATTTTCCTGAAGTCCTACTCAGTGCAAAATCTTGAGCAAAGCTACCCTCTCTCTCTCTCTCTCTACACTTAACAGCCTCTGTCTTTTTCCCATTCTGCTCACAGACCCAGTCTTCCTAACACTCCCAGTTCCCACTTCTCACTTGTCTTTCACACCCAATCTGGCTGCTGGGAGTTCAGGAGCCTTCTCGTTGGCATCAAAACAGCAGGCCCGTCTCCCGTAACTTAATCTATTTTCTGATCAACTGTGAAGAATGTGCTGGGGTCCTGTTTCCCCCTTTTAGTTTAGCTCTAACGTCTTTCACTTGTCATGAAGCGATCCCGCACTTCCACTCAGGGCAGCGCCAGGAGGTCATGATTGTCCAACTGTTCTGCCCAAGACAAGCTCAACCGGCACATCCACTCCCCCTCTCTGCCCACCCTCCCCTTTGCGGAATGGCTATTAATTTGCCACAGTTTCCACAGAGTTATCACAGGCTTGGCTCCCAGCTCCCACACATGCCTGGGGAAGGTTTTACTGTCAGGGAGTTTGGTAGCTTAGAAACCTCTTCCTTAACAACTTTGATGAGCAGAGTCATGTGTTCTTTGCTGAATTATTTTTAACAGTAAAGGTTGAGTCTGTGCATGCACTTTCCATACCTCTCAGTACCATATAATTATCCATGTTCAGGGGGTGTCATAGTCAAGACACGCTGGTCATAAGCTAACATGACGGCGAGCTATCTCAGAGGAAAACCTCAGTTGTGACTAATTCCTGTCAGCCCACTCGTGGTTATTTAGAGACTAACACCTCCTTCAGGTGAAACCACTCCGTCGAACCTGCTTTCATAACCCACTGCCTCCTCCCCAGTGCAGGGACCATCTGCTACATGGCGGGAACACCAACTCTCCCCGGCAACTAGAACATGGAGAGGGAAGGTGGGGCAGGCAGGTGTTTGGGGGCCGGGGCCCACTTCATGCCTTTATATTCACATCTTGGGTCCAGGACAGCTGCCCGCCCCACTCAGTTGAGAAAGGCTTGTGTGGGCACCATCGTTATCCCTGCTCGGCTCATTTCACCACCTCTAGGCCTGGCAGACACAACCACAAAGTGACTTGACAAGATCTAGGTGCAGGCATCCATCAAGCTGCCAGCTGAATAGGCAAGTGGCCTGTTTACTTAAACATACAGTCTGGCCCAGGGGCCTGCTAGGAACCAGGAAACAAACACTGAGAACTGCTCCCAAGGAGCTGCCAAAGGGCAGGTGCGCATTCCTTCGGCTTAATCACCAAGTCAACTAGAAAGAAGGAAACCGCGACAGGGGACGCTATCGCCATATTCCTGCTTTCCCGGGGCCCGCCTCCCACCCACCACAGGGTCAGACCACCCTACTGCACTCACAACCCAAATCTAAATCGACGGTAAGTGCAATAAAATATGACCACCCACATACCGGCTGCTGGGATGTACTAAGGGTGCACACATATGAATTGGTCTTTTAAAAATATTTATCAGTGAATACTCTCCCCCTGCCAATTCCCACCCCTCCTCGCGATGCTTTCGGGATGAAACCGCTCAGAAGAACCAGCAGGAGATGGCAGCTGGCCTGAGCATGAGAAAGCTTTGGTACCATTCCCAGTTCTCACCAGGACTCATGATTAGAAGACACTGTCCTGTGCAGAGTGCCACGTGTGAAGGGGGCGTGGAGAAATTGGCCCACAGGCCACCAAGTGCTCCAAGGTTTGGAAAAGGAGCTGGGAATGACTCCCAGGGGAATGGGTAGGTGGAGGGGGACAGCTCAATGGTCTCCAAGAACTGGCAGCTGCGGAGGGAAACCAGCCCCAGCAGCTGGAAGAGGGGTTAGGGGCGGGGCAAGAAAGAACTTGCAGCAAGTGAGAGCTGACTTGGGTGACCCAGCGCTGGTCTGGGGGAGGCTCAGAGCTGGTTCCGGTCTCTCCATGTGACGGGATGTCCTTTTGTACCTCGGGATCTGTGTCCTGTCTGTACTGCCCAGCCAGGAGGGCATGGCCCGACGGTTCCCTAGGCCCCTGGCTGCCGCAGAGCCCCGGAGTTGTCCTACTCCCGCAACGGTGAGCTCTGGCCTGGCTGGCTTTGCCACTGGGGAGTAGCTCCCCATCTCGGGGCCCCTGTCCTGTCTCCCAGGGTTCGCCCAGCCCAGCTCGGGGAGGCCCGCCTGGACGGCGTGTGGGAGGCTCGGGTCTGGCCTCTCCGGGTCCCTTCCATGCGGCAGGGGGCCCTGAGCTGACCCTCTGGGCCAGCGGGGGGCCAGGCTCACCTTGCCTCTCCGCTCCAGCAAACCGAGCTGGTGGGGGGCCACGTGCTTCCGGTCTGGCCCCGGAATAGGCCAGGCCCTGATGAGGGGGTGAAAGGGTGGGGGCCGGGTGCTGGGCGGAGGCGGGGTAGGCGGACCTGGCGGACCTCACCTGGCTCCCTGCCTGGTTCCCATCTCCCGGGAGAGCGGGGAGAGCGCCCTGCCTGGTTCTGGCTCTGGCTCCGGCCTGGGCTGGCGGTGAGGAGCGCCCGCCGCCTCTAGCCCCGGTTTGTGACCTTGGGTCAGGCCTGACCCTGCCAGTGTCCCCAGTTTTTAGATGAAGCTGCTGCACTAACTGATTCCTGGTGACCCTAGAATCGGAGCGGCTGCTCTTAGGGCATCTGTTGGAGTTGGGGAGCCTTTGTCTGCCTGATCTGTCCTCGTGCAACTCTTTCAAGACCAGATCCCTGACCTCCTCATTTCCACATCCCCCTGGGACCTTGTTTTCAACGACGTTGACACTTGCTTTGACCTTCCTAGACCATGACCTCTTACCCTTCCAGCAACTCCTACTGCCTTTGACTTTCAACATCATGGAGGCTGCAGCCCATTGCCCTCTCTGCTTTCTTCCTGCCTAACAACCTGCTTCTTCCCTGGTCCACCCCCTCAGCGGTTTTCTTGCAAGAATCCTCCAGGCCCCGTCTGCGGTCTCCTCATTCCTCCCACGCCCAGTCAGCCCACTGACACTCCGGTGCTGAAGAGATCTTGACCAGCCACATTCCACTGAATAATGGAATGATCTCCAACCTCCACTGAAGCCTCAACCCACACAGAAATCCTTCCACCTTCCCCAGCGCAGTTCTGTCTCCTTTCTGCTCAGTGGCTATTTCAAACCTGTTCTCTCTCTCCTGAACGCCCCCACCTCTCCCTTCCCTCCTCCCACTCTGAAGGTAAACTTACTTCTCTCTTCAGAGAGAAAATAGAGGCTATCAGATGGAACGGTTCGCAGCTTTCTGCCATCAGCCCTACCAACTTGTCTACTTTTGTCTCCCTGCTGCCCCCTCTTCCCCCTGTTTTAATGCAGGGGATCCATCCTCTGATTCTGTCCAAGATCGACTGCTCCTCCGTGACTTCCCAGAAGCCTGTTCTCTGTCACAGGCCACGCGAATGCACACCCTCGCCACAGTGCAGGACTTGGCTTCTGCTGTCCCCTCTGCTTAGTAATAGGGGTCCTCAAACTATGGCCCGCGGGCCACATGCAAATACCCCTATTGTATTTGTTCCCGTTTTGTTTTTTTTTACTGAAAAATAAGATATGTGCAGTGTGCATAGGAATTTGTTCATAGTTTTTTTTTAAACGATAGTCCGTCCCTCCAGCGGTCTGAGGGACAGTGGACTGGCCCCCTGTTTAAAAAGTTTGAGGACCCCTGGCTTAGAAGATTCTTCTCCAAACTCCCCAACCTTTCCTTCCTTTCCTTCACCTAACGCTCACTTACCCTTCAGAGCTCCATGGGCGAAGTCGTCTTTCTTCCCCGATGGAATTAAGCTAGCTTCAGAAGGAGTCCTAACTGGGCTGTGGTCTGCCAGGCACTGTTCTAGACTCTTGGAATATGCAGGTGAATAACTTAGTGACTATAATACTAAAAGATAATGTTAGTAGATATTCAAGAACCATATCAGAGGAAAGAATTAGGGTTCATTACCCAGCATTGTGGCAAAATATTTGCTATATGAGCATGACTCCAGCCTTCCTCAAGATGTTTACATTGGGTTGTCGAGAAGACACCCGGAGAGTGACAGATCGGATTATTTTCAAGACAGTTGGAGCCAAGTGTGGAAGAGCAGGCATAGGCTGGACATGGTTATGTGCTAAGTGCTTGGCACCGACAGAAGGTCTTTGGGGCTGCGAAGGAGGTGATCATTTCAGCAGGGGCGTTCCTGCCCATCTCAGGAAGCGCCTCATCTGTGGGCGGTGAGGGCCTGGGCTGGGCAGACTTCCTGCTAAGGTCACCTCATTGCCCACCCTGGACACTCAGGGAGGGATCTGAGGCCCCAAGAAGGTGCAGGAGGTGGCAGTTTGGGGAGCTGAGAAAGGTTTGCAACTCTGGGCTGGTGGCTTAGTTCCTGTATATGATTCTGTGAGAAATAGCTAAGCAATGCACTTCAGCCCTGCAACACCCACCCAGGGAAGATTAAAGTGCATTCTTCATCAGCTATTTTAATATCACCTAAGAATTATGCAATCTTTTGGAAAATCAAATTGGCTTCTCGCCCCCTTTGAGTGAGTGAGTGTGTGTGTGTGTGTGTGCATGCCCACGCGGGCAGGCAGTGAAATGGTGCTTGTGCCTAGGTCTGTTTAATATTTGCAGTGTCTTTTGCTTCCTGGTGTCATGTAATGCCCAGCATGAAACGAGAGGGAGGCCAGAGGGAAGGGAAAGAAGGCAGCTGGCCAGGCAGTTGCTGGGCCTGCCTGCTCTTCAGGGAGAGAGGTGCCTCTGCTGCCTCTCTCTCCCATCTTTCTTTAGAGAACGTGTCTGCAAAGGACGGGCCCTGATGTCACCTGCGAAGTGGGTTCTCAGTCACGTGGCCAGAGGTCGCTGCCATGCCAGCTCCGTGGAGACTCTCTCTCTCCTTCCCAACCATGGTTCCCGCTCCTCCCCAGCTCTCTCCCCGAGCTCCAGCCACCTTGTTTCCCAAGGGGAAACCTGGGCCCTCGGGTTTTTCATCTCTAGGGTCTTTGCTCATACCTGCCCCACCCTGCTCCCTTCCTTGAAGTTAATCCAAATTCGCTGACCCCTTCGAGGCTCGTCTTAAAAGTCACCTCTTTCATGCAGGCTTTTCTGGAACACCTTTTCTCTCCTCACACCTCATGTGCCTTTTCGGGTCCCTTTTGGTCCAGTAGAACATGCCCAACCACAATGTGCACCCTCACCGTTAGAGTAGCTCCTCTCATCTTCATGCCTGGCACTTCATCTGTATCTGCCAATGGGATCATCATAGGTGCTGCAGGCATGGGCTCTGTGGTCAAGTTTGAATCTCGGCTGTACCACTTGCTAGCTGAGAACCTTGGGTAACTGGTTTAACTGCTATGGGCCTCAGTTTCCTCATCTGTAGAATGGAGATGATAAGAATAGGATTGCTGTAAGAATAGGATTGCTGTGTGGAGATGATAAAAATAGGTGCTTGGCAAATGAGAATTAAACTAATAATGATGGTGATGCCAACTCCACGGCTGGCTTTTCCCTTGAGAGATCTAGCAAGCCACAGGCAGTATCCCCCCAAGGATATCTGGTTGCTTGCAGTCTAAGTGACCTCCCCCAGGGCTGGGCTGAAGGCAGGAGCTTATGTGCTTTTCACCTTTGCAGTCCCTGGCAAAATGAAACCTTTTCTGGGTGACACAAAGTCTGTAATTGTGCTCCAGGAACAATCCTGTTGATGTGGCTAGAGCCATCTGCCCCTGTACTCAATGTCCCCAGGCTCGCTGGCCTTATCAGTGATTGTTTTCAGCATTTCTTCCTCTCCTTTGCCTTCCTGCTAAGAGGAGCCACTCGACCTTCATCCCTGTTTCACTTCTGTGTCTGAGCAAAAAGAGGCCGGTGATGCATTGCTAGAACTGTGTCTGAGATGAGAGCGTTGTGGCAGCTGCCTGGATGCTTGGTCATTTGGTTGTGTTCTCAGTGTTTTGGGTAGGTGCGGCCATTCTCTCACTGACCCGCAGGTAAACAGGAGAACTGCCAAGGGGTAGGGGTGCCACCTTTGGGGTCAGACACACCTGGGTTAAGTTCTGGCTCCAGCAGTTTGCAGGGCAAAGCACCTAACCCAGCCGTGGGCAAACTACGGCCCACGGGTTGGATCCGGCCCGTTTGAAATGAATAAAACTATTGAAAAAAAAGACCGTACCCTTTTATGTAATGATGTTTACTTTGAATTTATATTAGGTCACACAAACACTCCATCCATGCTTTTGTTCCGGCCCTCCGGTCCAGTTTAAGAACCCATTGTGGCCCTCGAGTCAAAAAGTTTGCCCACCCCTCAATCTCTGCCCAGTTCTATTTCCTTATCAGTAAGCTGGGGCTGATGGTCTGTGCCTCCTTGGGACTATTCCAAGTGGATTCAATCAGATAATCCAGTGGTGCTTAGCCTTATGCTGGTCCTCAGTAGGTTGTAGTTTTGTTTTGATTTCTGTAACTTGAAGCATGATTTTACTCTGATCATCCATTCATTCATTCTCTCAATATTTAATGCCCATCTCTCTGTGCCTAGTTTCTTTACCTGCAGAATGAGGAAAATTAATAGTACTGACCTAGCTGGGGGATGTGAGGACATAATGAGTAGATATGGGTGAAGTGCTCAGAAACTGTGCAAGGTATAAGACAAGTGTGATGCAATGTCACCCACCCTTATCATCATTGCTGGTTTGTCCTTGGCACTGTGCTACTTAGATTCTAGGGATAAAGAGACGGACAAATTGGAATGAGCCTTAACTTGTAGATCTTTCCGGCTCCTTCCCCCTTATCGTCTCCATGGGGATAAAGCCAACCAACGTTTCATCACTGTCTATGTAAGATGAATTGATGGGTCTGAGAGGGTAGCTCTTAAGCACCTGCCAACTTGCTGGCTGTTGCCCTAGAAGCTGGCATAGAAGACCAGACATGCTCCCTACTACGCTCTCACCCTTCATCAAGTCTGCAGGCCTCTTGGTTTTGTTTCAGCACCATCCAAAACTTGCGCAATGATTTGTCAGATGGAGAGAACCATGTCTGTCCTGCCTAAGTCATAGCTGTGAAGGTCAGTGTCTGTGAAAATGCTGTGTGACCTTCAAAATGCTACACAAACAAGAGGTGTAGACAGGGGTCTGGTGGGGTGCAAAGAGCACTGGGTGGAGTCAGTGACCACAGGTTAAGCCCTGGCCCTGTCACTTGGTATCTATGTGGATCTTTTTGGGTCACTTCTCACTGTGCCCTGGTTTCTCAACTATCAGATGGGTGGGGTTGTAGTGAGGAGTATATAGGAGCAGAATGCAAGTTTAAGGTAAACCCAGGC